TAATTGGCATCCCTTTTGTCAAAGGTCTTCTTCCCTCAAACTCTGTTGGTCCTGGAAGTTGTTTGACCATACTTCACCACGCTGGTCAGTGTGGGTTGGTGAAAGGGGAGACCGAGAACCAGATCAGATATCACTCGACACTGATGTTAACCATGGCAGGGAATCAAACTCATGTCATCGGGTTGGAAAACCAAGACATGCATTTTATCTTGGGTGGGAAGGTGGGATGTGAATCCAGGATTTCATGGTGCTTTGACCCTCTGAATTACTCACCTTCTTCATTAACTTCATGAGCATCCTCTTAATCGTATTGGAATAAATGGAACGGAACAACCAGAACAAAACCAAAATAGTATGCAAAGAAGCATGCAGAGATGCATGCTTGGAATTGCATTGAGAGACAGAGAGATGAACGCTTGGGGTTAGGAGGCATAAGCAAGTCAGAGACATAATTCTTGCCGTAAGTGTGCCTGGGCAGGACGTGTCGCGAGAAAAAATAAATGATGGCCCTTAGTCGAGAATAATCACCGAGTGGCACAGCCAAAATAAGGGCGCGTGTCCAAGAGGCTGGCCAGCCACAGAGATGAAATCAGCTCGCGTGCAGGATTGTTGCATCGCAAGACCATGACACGGAGACGGCATGGGGAGGGGGGCATTCACGCAGCAGTGATTTGAATATGGCTGATGAAGAATCGTATTATCTGCGCGTTGTGCCTCTATCAGCAATCATCGTAGCTCTTGCAACACTGGATAACATCCGTGTGTTGTCCTCACCCCCTCCGCCGCCCGCACACTCCGACTCGCACGGTTGGCTACGTAAGGCGCGAAAGAAGCTCAACATACAGCGCGTTACGCAACCGCGGTATGCGTTTGGGTAAAAAATAGCTTTCGAGGCTGGCCTTTAAGGGCATTAAGAGAATGTGCAATTTTGAGCGGCGTAGGTAATGCATTCCACGGTCACAGAGTGCGCAAAGCCAGCATCGCTCCGCGACGGGGGGCTCGTGTCGAATTGTTCGCTCCACGTGCCAAGAGCTTCTTCAGGAACTGAATGGCGCAAGCCCGTATCAATCTGATTAATATTTTACCGGCTGCTGCTGCTGCTCGTGGTGGTGTTTGATTGTAGGGGGCCGGTCGATGGTATTTCTTAGCTTCGTCACCTGTGCCGTGACAACTCCGCGCCAGCATTGAGCAGCTAATCCCCAGTGGCTGCCTGGCTTACCGGGGTAACAGCTCAGCCCCTCAGTCCCTGAGCCTATGCCTGATGACAGCCTGCGTCCACAGACTAAGGAGGTGCCTCCTGGATTATTCATGAAGTGCATTTCATTAAACAAATGTGCAGCCCTTTATGAATCGACTGCTGCATGAGGGCGTTCCGATGGCGTGCGGGTCGTGATGATTGTTTGACCATACTTCACCAAGCTGGGCAGTGCGGGTTGGTATGGAGGCGGGTAGCATAGAGGTGGGAGCGTATCAGCTGAATGCAACAATGGATTCCACTGCACTGCCCTCTGCTGCTCACCATGTATGTATCGTATCTGTGGAGTGGAGGACAACTGACTCCTCTTGAACTTTTGCAGGTGGCTGAGTGGATGAGTCCCTCTGCTTACACCCGGGCCTGATGAGAGTGGGTGGGAGGTATTACTTATTGAGCCCCCAAGCTCGCATTTTGTACCGGCAGCCCCATATTTCTCTCGACGAGCCAAACTTCTTTTTGTATTGTTTGCTATTGTAACTTAGTGATCCGCCCATACCGGGGCATCTGTAAACAAAAAAATAGCTTCGTAGCACACCGGATTCCTCGAGTCTAAATCGAGATGTCGAGTCTGAGTTACACGAATCGTTGCACAAATGCGTTGTGAACGTTCATCAGTGACTGGGCTGATGTCATCAAATGCGATAGATTTTAGAATGGTGTTTTTTTTATCATCTTGGGTGGCAGCCAAGGATTTCGAATCTCCTGGATTTCAGCGGTGCTGGCTCGCCGCTCTGGCACAGCAGTTTTGTGAGTGAGTAAATGAACGTGCGTCTCGTCAGCTCGATCTCGTGAATCGCTCCCACGCTAAGGACGGCTTCCGTTATTGATTTGGACCGCGAGTGAAATGGCTCCGCGGGTCAATGGCTTAGGTGTTGTTATCGCGCGGCGGCGCCCATGCTGGGTGCGGGCCCCGACGAACGTCCCCTGAAACGTAACGAGGCTACTTCGAGCCCCACGTGACTACGCTCGACTATGGGGAGTGTTTCCGAACCTTTGTGGTCCCGTGGACCGCTCGCCGCTCGCCAGAAAAATGAATGGGAAGTGAGCCACGGAGATGTTGCAGATTGTAAATGTTTATATAAACATTTTGTAAGTGTTTTTTTCTGCCAAGAGCACAATCTTTATTTGAGTAAATATAGCGTGAGTTCATCGAGTTTTTTTCCATGGATTTTTATTCATATTTTTTGCAGTTGCTTTCAAGACTTTTTAATATTGAAAAGTGTTATCGGTGCACGGATGGTTGACGATGGTCCACGGGTCAATAAAGGTGGGGAAGCACTGCACAAGAGGTTCGTCAGGGCGAGTGGGTGAACAGGTGAGTGGGTAAACGGGTGAGCAGGTGAGCGGGTGAGCAGGTGAGTGGGTGAACGGGTGAGTGGGTGAGCGGGTAAGTGGGTGAGTGGGTGAGTGGGTGAGCGGGTGAGCAGGTGAGTGGGTGAACGGGTGAGTGGGTGAGCAGGTGAGTGGGTGAGTGGGTGAACGGGTGAGTGGGTGAGCGGGTGAGCGGGTGAGCAGGTGAGCGGGCTGTGAATGGCCAGGTAAGGAGAATTAGATGGGGAGGATATAAGGAGATGGCACGTGCCACTGAGCCACCACGTGACTACAATGCAATACCTTAAGCGATTACATGGCGTGCTTACAGTCAGTCGATTGGCAGGTCAGGTGTGGAGGGGCAAAGTGTGGGTACGCCCACCTCCTCCAAGACGTCTGGCCCAGCGTGGAAGAGTAGGCCAAATAGCCCTCTAGGGTGGAGGCCCTTCTGCCAGCAGTGGCGTGAGCAAGACATTGCAGGGCTTCACCTTTACACTTTACCATCATCCTATAGCACTCTTAATGCAGAGCATAAGAGGGTACTTTACAATAAAAAACTCAATAAGGCATTGGTCAATCAAGCCAACATGAAAATAATCTAACTCAAAGATGTTGTTCTTATATTTAATTGGAAAGATTTGTGCCGACAGCATTCCTGATATGACTTGTGCGGAACAGAGCTGCAGAGCCAAGGGGCAGAGCAACCAAAGTCCCTCGTCCATTCTGATTTTATTTGTATTCCTACAAATAGACTGGCCCCTGACATGGGGATGTGGAATGTACGCCGCTGGCTCCGGGTCGCCAATGGGACTGAGCACAGCCACATTGCTCCATTTGAGCAAAAGACAATTTGATTTTGAAAAGAAACGCAATTGAAGGGAATTGAATTGGATTAGTGGTGTGTGGTTGTGATGGATGGGTTATGGCTTAAGAAGACACGTATTAGCCATAGGATGGCTAAGGGGGTATTCCCTTAGGAGTTGTGGGTATGGATGAGAGGGCATTGCACCAACGGTAGCAGCAGTGGGTAAGCAAGAGGGCATACCATTGTCTTAGGACACAAGTGAATGTATACGGCACACACTACTTCATGGGCTGGCAAGGATGGGTGAGAGGAAATCCCTACTTTGCCGTAAAGGTGCATAGCAGGTCATTGAATTAGCGATTGCAGCGATTGTTAATGGCGTTAGAGGGATGACGGAGTGAAAGAAAAGGGCTATTGTCTTCAAGATTTCGGGGGAAAGTCAAGGGGACATTCCATTTGGGAAATATTTTGGAAGGGGGGCAATTATTGGACCGGCCAGGGAACAGTCTTGAAGTTGGTGTTGCAGCGGACCAGGTATCCATGTTGGCCCACGTTCATCAACCAAGAGGAGGAGTTCATATGAAGACTCTTCATTATTACAATCATCATCATCATCGTCATCAGCTGTAATCCGTCGCCAATCGCTCACGGTCCTAGCGAGGCAACGCACCACAACTTAGGCCGCGGCGCGCAATTCCGGTCGAAAGCCTCTTTGATGAGAAGCACCGAAGGAGAGGCGTCGATTCCATCACCCCGCGACGAGATCACCGGGCCCGGCGGACGACTGCCAACGCAGCGCTGTGCAAGTGGCACCCAAACACCACGCCGCCAGGCAGCCTCGGAGATCCAGAGGCGACGTTTATTTTCACATCAGCGAAAAATACCCTGAGCACAGCCTTTCAAAGCAAATTGAAGTGGGTGGTTGGTTGGTGGTGGTGGGGGTACACCATATGGCCTAGCAGCTTGCCCCCCCCCACCAACCCAATCAACCCCCGCCCCCTACTCCCCCTTATTCTGACCATCACAAGTCTGCCTGAAAGGGGGTGGGGGCGGTTGGGTGGAGGGGGGCAGAGGGGGGGGGGCGGTTGGGTGGAGGGGGGAGCAGTCTAGCGGGGGGGGGGGGCATGGGATGTGGAGCCATGGAGGTGCCGGTGGGGGGGGGGGCGGGTAGGGGGGGCAGAGGCCGGTGGGGCGAAGGCGGACCCAATAGGGGGGGGTGGGGTGCTTAGTGGGTGCGTGGGGGTTAGGTTCGTGGACAGAGGTCGGTGTCGTGGAGGGGGGAGCCGGTGTGTGTGGGGGGGGGGGTGCACGGGTGGTTGAGCCGTGGAGGTGCCGGTGGGCGGGGGGGGGCAGAGGCCGGTTGGGCGGGGGGGGGCCCATGGGGGGTGTGGGGTGGGGGCCGTGGGGGACATTCCCCGAGCTAGAATCTGACCCCTGCGCCCGATCCGTGGCCGCGCTGGTGGTGCCGCGGGCGCGCGCTGCCATTGGCTGCCGATGACGGCACGCGCTGACGCCGCCACGCGCTATTCTCACGGCAGGTGATGTCATCGCAGCCGGCGGCCGAAGCTCGCTCCGGGATTATTTATATCAGCTGTGGGGGGGGGGGGGCGGTTTAGTGAGGGGGTCTCTCTCTCTCTCTCTGCATCCACACACACAGGGGTCCCGAGCACACGAGCCGCATAGGACAACAACAACAACGACGACATCATCAACAACAACAGCAGCAGCAGCACCACCAACCAACCACCATCATCTTTATAACCAGCAGCGGCTTGTGTGGACTGTCTGTCTCGCGATCCAGCGAATGGATTCATTAATTTAATTGCTTCTGCGCCGTGGCCGTGGCTGCTGCTGTTGTTGTTTTCCCCTTCTCCTCCTCCTCTGCTCGCCGCTGGGATTAATGGCTCTGGCTCGGCTTTCAGGAGGCAGGAGGAGGAGGCGGCAGTAGCTTTGAGAAGGAAGAGGAGGAGGAAGAAGGCGAAGATTGCTGCTTGCTGCTGTTGACGAGGAGGTGAGAGACGCAGCCGCGGATGGCGCGGTTAGGGATGGCGATGTCGACTGTGGTGGTGTCATTGTGTGTGCTGTGTGGACGTGTGTGTGTGTGTTGTTGTCTGTGTCGCTGTGTGTGCACATGCTGGTGTGTGTAATAGGTGCTCGCGAACAGCACTTGCACCAGCAGCATGGGACGTGCCATGCTATGCGTGGGGAGGGGGGGATCTTCGTCTTTACATGAAGGTGTATCTGTCAGTGTGTGAGCGTGTGTGGTATGTGCGTGTGTGTGTGTGCATAGCTGTAGCTGTGTGTGTGTGCATAGCTGTGTCTGTGTGTGTGTGTCATTCAGCCTTGATGGGTAGTACCTGGCGCTGTGTGTAAGCATCATCATTTGGGGAGACAAAGGCGGCCGGGAGTGGTGTTGGTCACTCACCCCTACTGGTGTGCCGTGCCGGGCTTAGTAGATGCACGCTTACATCAGCACTTGTCCCAACATCTGTCAAGGCCGTACGGGGATCTTTGTCTTTGCGTGTGACTGTGTGTGCATGTTAGGTATTGTCATTGTGCGTGCATGTCAGTGTGTGTCCACACGTGTGTGTGTGCACATATAGGTGTGTGTCATTTTGTGTGTGTGTCCCTGTGTGTCAGTGTCATTGTGTGTTTGCCTATGCAGTATTGTATAGGTGTGTGTCTGTGTCACTGCACATTTGGGTGTTTGTCATTGTGTCTGCACGTGTGTGTGTGTATATTGAGGTGTGTTTCTAGACTGTCGACTTATTTCTAGATATGTGTAACACTCGATGAGTTTGTGCATATTCACGTGTGTCACTGTACATGTTTCATTGTGTGATTGTGTAAACTTAGATTGGTGTCTCTGTGTTACTATGTATGTATGCATATTCGTCTGTACTGTGTTCAGATGTGTGTCTGCATACTGTTATGCAATGTGTATATGTGTCACTGTCCGTGTTTATGATTTTGTGTGCAATATTTACATGTGGTATAAAGCACAGTTGTGTCATTGTGTATGCATGCGGCAACATTCCTAAAAACCTGTCTTCCGAAAGTCTGCGAATCCTGAAAGTCACGGCGCCCCCGTGGTTCAGAGAAATGCCCATAATCTGCATTGGCGAACATCCTAAAATCCGGGTGTTTTTTTGCATATTCGACAAAAAAAATTGTAGGGCGGCTAAAAATTCCTGGAATCCACGCAAAAAAAATCGTGTATGTTATAGCAGCCAAAAATGATCCTAGAGACCGCGATGGGATGATTTTTTTTATTGTTGGCTGGATTTGAAGGAGCCAGTCGGCTTTTAAGTATGGCCGTTGGACTTTAACAACAAGAATCATTCCCATCTTGTTTGAAACGCTTCAAACACATGTTTCTCTCGAACTCTGCATTTGAGAGCGACAGAGATGCAGAGAGAAAGAGACAAATGGAGATGCAAATAAACACACCGGCACAAAAACAAGTGATTGTTTTTGTTTTGCTTACGTTTCACGGAATTTTAGTGATTTGTATTTATTGTTCTCAAAGATCCCATTAGGACGTTTTCCTCCATTAAATTTTTTTCAAAAATAATTTGGGAACCTCTCAACAATCCGCTATTTTTTTCCCGCCTACAAATAATTCGTGCTTAGTCGCATGTCCCTCTGATCCTTTACTCCACAAATATTTCAGTGCGGATTTTTTTAGTTAATATCGCATGCAATGTGCCCCGGATTACAGGGTCTGCGAATCCACCATGCCCCCCCACACATCACCGCTAAATATTTGGAGTTGTACTCTATTTAGATTCATGTGTCACTGTGCATATTTAGGTGTGTGTCGCTGGTGTATATATTTAGATGCCTGCTGTTTTGCCAAGGTGTGTTTCATATTTATGTGTGTGTAATAACGACGCTTGAGTTCATGACATGAATCAAATAGCACGTGCAAGAATTTAAAAAAATGTTCTATTCATAGTCGTGTCTAATGGGTGAACGTGACCCCTCCAGCCACTAGAGGCCGCTACAATAACCACAATGTACAAAATCAAATCGACTCTTATATCGAAACATCGAATTGTGATTTTGACAAATCTTTACACCCATAATACTGTGTATATGCGTTGCTTGTCACGTGAATGCCAAGATGTATATTTGCAACTGTGGTCCACTGTATTGTGTTACTGTAAACTTGTGTTAAATGTAACTTATTCTTAGGTTTTTTCGATAAAGTCACGTAGGTAAAACATTTTTATTAATAAAAAAAAAATCACGACGTTTCGGAGGCAACACAAGACCGTCACAGCACGATAGCTGTATCAAGTGATACAGCTATCGTGCTGTGACGGTCCCACCTGAAGACGGAAGCTTGTGTTGCCTCCGAAACGTCGTGATTTTTATTTTCTTCTTTTTTTACTTTTATTAATTTTATTTTTTTACCTACGTAATATGTGTGCCACTGTGTGGGCATGTGTCACTTAATAGGTGGTCCCTACGTTGGCCCCCCGTTTTAATAAGGATGACCGCACCGATTGTAACCACTATTAGGGGCACATCGCCTTTCTCAACATGCCAGGAAGGATACTGGCGATTTTTTTTTTACATCATCTTGCCAGACATACTGAGAAGAACCTCACGGAGCTCCAATGTGGTTTCAGGCAGGAGCAAGACTGCACAGACACCGTACTCTCTGTCTGTCTGCTGCAGCAAAGCTGCAGCTATTTCTACATGACCAACAGCACCTCTGCTTTATTGACCTGGTCAAAGCCTACAATACCATCCAGAGGCCAGGGCTTTGGGTTCCTCTTAATGCTTTCTGAGTATCTAACCCGTTGCTCTCAATCATTAAGAATCTTCATGATGGTGGGCAGGCCCAGGTAAGGCTGTGTGGCCAGGGGTCAGAGCCATCCCCTCTTCATTTTAGGGCATGAAAGAGATGTGTTCTGGCTTCTACACTGTTTAACATATTTTTGATCATCCAGTTCGAGAAGTTTTCCAGGGATGTAACAGTGGAATGTCCTGCTACAGATAGAATAGGAAGTTGATTGGTGCCCAGGTGCTGCCCACTGATCAGTCATGTTATTTAACCAGTGCTGACCATATGATATTTGCTGCTCACTCTGAGCAGGAGTTTGAGACTCTTGAAGTTGGATTTTTTTTGCCACAAAGAGACGGGGCCTTACCATCATCATTAGAAACGTGTCCACGTTTCACTACATTGTGGAAAGGCCTCCTGCAAAGGTTATTTCATGAGGTTATTCCCATCAGCCCCACCAAAACAATGTGCCTGCCGGGGTCCTTTTGTCATTGAACACTCCACCCCCTCAACTCTCCATGATTAATGAGGTGGTGAGGAGAGAGTGGAGAAGTTACCATACCTGGACAGTGTGCTCATGGCCAGCTTCAGCTTGGCAGCGGTGGTCTCTAAATCATTAGTGCGGCATTATTTTTTCATCGGCTACGTAATGCTGTTTGGAAGCTGCCTTGGACTTGTCATGCTACAAAAAGCTCTGGGGTTTCACCGCCACCAATCATGCCCTCTCTTCTCTTTGCCAATAAAACGTAGAACAAAAAATGACCCCTTTACAGGTACATGTGCTCTTGCTTGAACATGCAGCCTGGCCTGCCTACGATCCTTCCTACGTTTAACCAAAATGGATTACGTGAGGAACTCGCAGATCCTTGAAAGATTAGAACACAGCTCCGTCGGAGAGCTCAATCACCAGGCGAGGTTGCGTTGGCTGAGTGATGTAGCCCACATGCTCAGACAGTAGCATGGCTACAGAAAAGATGGGCTGATGTTGTACAGGAGGAATTGTAGCTGAGTGAACTTGGCGACAGCTGGCCAGCGGTGTCTAGATTGTCCTGTTTAGAGGAGGCTCGTGAAGGACACTCCTGGGCAGTTTGAGGCAACGGATCCACCAGCAACAACAGAGGGTTTGGGGAACCATACTCACAACAACGAGCAGAGCACCCGGTGGCTAAAACACAGCAAGTTGGCTAAGTGGGGAGCGCAAGTGGTGCAATCTGCCAGTCATCTCAGTCAGTCAATCTATAACATCTGGGTCTGTCCTGTGAGCAGCGAGTCATTGATGCTTCACGTGGCTTCAGAGTGCACCGAGCATAACATAAGCAGTGTGATGACATCACCGCCACTTAGTGGCGAATGGCGGCGGCGGCTGCTGTTGTTGTTTAATGCATGTGTCAACGTTTTCATGTACGGCACCATTGTGTTTAAGGGTGTACAACAGGTCTGACCTGTCACTGTTGATGTGCCATTGTGTGTATGTGTCGAACGATATGCGTTCAATCATTTAAGTGCGTGGCACTGCATTTTCACATGGCTCACATGGCACGAACGAACGCGTGGCGCCCATTGGCACGCGCATGTTCGTGCTACCGCCTGTGTCTGGTACGGTATTGCAGAGTGCGATGCGGTGTTTACAGTGTTCCGATGTGTGTCCCTGTTATGACCTTCATGGATATCGTCACCCAGTTTGTGTGTTCGTGTGTGTTTCTGTTCCATATAAGTGGCGTGGGATCTATGTGTGTGTGTGGGCCAATATGTATTCATGTTGCTGTACGTGTGTGTGTGTGCAGTTGTCATGTCACTGCGAATGATTGTACTCTTTTAAGTGTACCGCGTTTGCGAGGAGCAGTGGTTACCGTACAGCGGGTTTGGCCGGGCTAACGCCAGCTGTGAGTGATATCCACACCAGTGTGGTGACGTATGGCTAAGCAACTCCAACGTGACCGACACGAGGCCATCATTTTGGCAGTGAATTGTCAAAAGTGGCCGTCCATAAATGACGTCACGCGATTTCGGATTTTTACCCCCCCCCCCCTTCGTCACACGACGTCACAAAAAGTCAGACCCCACCCCCTCAAATGTGACGTCACAAAGCTCTGCCCCCCCCCAAATAAAACATGCTTCAAATCGCTTTAAACTATTGTCATTGTAGGGCGTATTTAGTGTGGCGCTACACTCTGATGTTGTAGGAGTGTTGTTATAACAATTAGTGTTGTTATATC